TGTTGAGTCTCATTCCCAGGTCATCAAAAGACAGACGCTTTGGGTCCCTTTATGAGACTGTAACTGAATCTACATAGTTTTTACAGATGTTTAGACCATTATTACTTTGAACATATGTGGTTTTGGTCATGTGTATTATCCTTGACTAGCCAAGATAAAAATGGCAACCTCTGGATTGTAATGGTGAAAAGATGTCTAATGTTAAGGTTGTTTATGGAGTTTTTTCAGCAAAGGGCTACTGGTGAGACTCAAACCCATGGCCACTGCGGCAAGGACACCTTGGTACATGGGGTGGCTCTATCAGGTGAGCTACCAGGGCGCCCCAGTTTAGTTTTATAAAGTTGTAACAGCTTCAGGTGACAGTTAGAAAGTAGGACGATATGTTTAGAATCACACACAAAAAACGTTTACTGGGTGTTTTTCTGTGAATTGCTGATTCAACCAATCTTACTGCAACTTCCCTAAGTGTAGTTCAAGTCCATAGTAGTGTGAAATTTCTATACAGTTAGTCATTTCAGAAGAGCAGACCTTAGGCTTGCAGGCTTCCTTTGCCTCCCTGGTATTTTTTCCAGCAGCAAGCTCTATTAACATAACCACATTCTGTACAGCTGCCAGGAAAGCAAAAGATCAAAACCACCGTTGTGAAGTTAAATGGCAAAACAAGCAGCAAGCAGCAAAAATGACCTCAATCCGAGCCGGCATCCTGTTGGTTACAACTATGAAAAGTATATGGTAGGTCTTTTTGCTGGATGATCTCATTCTTTAAAAAACTAGCTTAGACAATACAACCTACAGTTTTAGGAAGTACTCCACCTCTCTGACTCTTCTTACAGACGCTATGAATATTTACAAACTGAGGGAAAATGTTAAGGTGGAAACATTAAGTGCCATGCATAAGTTGACAGTTGTTATGACTGAGGCTCACTGGAATGTGATAAAAACTATCTGTGTTTCCGAAGGGCATGTGTTTACAGTTTGCATCACCAGTTCTAAAAGAAAAACATTTGGTCTGAAACTGGGGCAGCTGGATTTTTCGTGTTTCAGCTTGAAAACCAAAAACACATTTCCGGAATCTTGAGTCAGCAGGCTATCAGCAGAACCAACACATTACACTGCTAGATGTTCAAATAAGCCCACTTTCAAATAAGCACTGACTCATGCAAGGGTGGCACATGAAGTATATGTCTCAGCTTCCAGTTATTCACAATTTATGCATTTCCAATACTATTTAACCCCAGTAAACTGACTATGGAATTAGCATAAAGTGGGGTCAATGGATCTCTTTGACAATGGCCATGCCAGTTTTTCCATAGCCACAATTAAGCCTATCTTTGGAGCGTTAATTAGCCCCATTTCTAACATGCTAGAATGACATGCTATCAGTGGATGCATTAGGTCATCTAGTTTCATATAATACCAGTACCTTCACTCTAGCTTTAAATAAAAGCTTGCTACAGCCTCTGAAGGACAATGGAAGTGGAAGAGGAAAGGATCATTTGGTGGCACTTGGGGTGACCGATCAGATTTCAGGGGCCACCCCAGGACCCCCCTCTGGATACACCCCTGCTCATGAGAACTAGCCTACATCTTCATCAGCAGCAGGATGGAAACCAAATGACCAGGAAACTTAAGAAGGACTATAATGCTTTGAGCCCATTTAATGTCCTCTAATTATTCACATATTGGGGAAGGCAAAAGACTCACGTGATCCACACTGTTCCACTGGCCAGACATCTCCATGTGGACGTGTGAAAGATGGATCTCTCCTGTTTTGTTATTTGTTTCCTATAAATGGCAAAAAGGGTGACATATTGTTTCAGACCTCAAACAGAAAAGCAAATGTACAGGTCTTTTTTTGTGGTTCATTCATGTGAAAGGAAAAGGAAAGAAAATCCCTACAATCACTTTATCAACAATCACACTCTTTGTGTTCCTTGTACAACCCACTCCTAAACCCACTCAAAATGTAAAGGGGCGTAACTTTGTAAACAAAGCTGGTTCTCTCTATTTATGAAAAACCAGACCTCTAAAAGATGAAAGACATCTGTCTGGGAGTTACAAGTCAAAGGTTAAACCCTGCTGTACCTTGTCAGCTCTGTCTAAGACCTGAACAGCTCTGTCTCCATCCATTATCATCTTCTTTGTCTCGTTGTGGTAGTTAGGACGCAGATCCAGCGACGCTAAAGAGGACTTGGCGCTCTCAGTAGTTATCTGATGGATTGAATGATAGGACACACGTGGAATCCATTCATAAATCTCATATAAAACAAAGCACATGGCATCTCCAGTATGTCCATACATCAGATTTCCATACTGTGGGGGGGTCAAGGTGGATATAACCATGGACAGGTTGTTGCTATATACAGCATCCACTGATTGATAGTAATCTCCATATACTGGATGGGAAAATGCCACAGTGGTTCAGGAATGATCAAAACCAGACACTGGCTACTGGGACATCCGCAGACTTATTAGACCTGTTGAAATCCAAGTCCAGGGCAGAATAACAGACATTACAGCTGCTACCAGGAGGTAAAGTTCTCAGTCACACATACAGGGTTAGGGTCCTTTTCTTTTATCAAACTGACTAGACAATATTCCATTTTGAGCCGCTACTATTAAGATGAGCACTATTAATAGCATTCAGTGGGTCAGACATAAAGCAGACATGGAAACTATGTGTAGTGTTGCAACACATACCTGAGCCTGGTTTATTCAAAATTAAGCTGACCACCAAACAGAACAGACCCACACTGACACTGACTGTCCACAGATAAATGACATTAAATACTATAAGAGTGTATTTGTGCGAATGGATAAAATGTGACGCAGACCTGGTCCACAGCCTCCTCCAGTATGTGCTGGGTGTCCTCCATCAACTCCTCCACCTCTCGGAACATGTCGTTCAAGCTGACCGGGCCCCGCTCCAGGGTGCCCCGCAGGACCACTGCCCCGCTCCGCGCCGCGCCGCCGGTCGCCCACATCAAGCACAAAGTCAAAGATACCGACAGCAGCATGATACCGGACATCTTTCCTTCTCTTCCTCCTCCTAGTCGCTGCTGTCTGCCCGTCCACCGAGGAGCAGAGCAGTGTGACGCACGGAGGGCGCACAGCCGCACACAGCTGGATCCGTTTTATTTGGAAAGTCTGAGGAGTGGCGGCGGTGGTGGGGTTATAAACTGGAACGAATCAGCTTAAATGGCGTGGAAAGGGTTCAAATTGCATCTGGTGAAGTACATGTAGAAATCAAACGGCCGGTTATGGTGAGGTTTTAAAAAAGGCTTGTGCACTGTAAAACGAGTGTTAGACAGGATCAAAAGCTGGTGGCAGGGGTCTGCTAACGCCAAATACAAAATCCAATCAGCATGCAAGCCAATGGAGAATGAAGAGGCACACAGGAAGTGTTATTGCAGTTTTCATATTACTGGAGTTTGGTAGAAGTTTGGCACAGTGAAGTCCCAGTTTACCTTTATGTTAAAAGTTCCCTTCATAAATAGTCTGCTTGGAACAATGATGTGTGTCTGATAAGGTTTTCCTCACAAAAAAGTATAATTTCCACATTCCATAAAAGGTTAATTTTATGCAGATTTTGATATTATCTAAAGTTTTCCTGCTGGACACAAGATGTCTCCTCCTTCACTGTAAAGTCCATTCTCAGTGTATGTGCACTGGTGGCTTCAAGTTTCTCAGGTTTCTACATCACACTGTACAAGTTGCATACTGGACCAGGACTGACTTCCTAACTATTTGTGATGTCACAAATCCTGCTGGTAGGCCCCGGTGTTCAATGAGCACAGAGAAACGTTCCTCTTTCAGCAGATGAATGTGAAAACATCCTTCTAGAGTCAAAATCTGCACAGACAGGATTCACACAGCACACTGTAGGAACTAGAAGAACATTTTTCTGAGTGCAGTTGGACTTTAATTATGAAGTGATGTACATAGAACCAAAATCATAAATAAATAGCAGAAATGTATTTTTTATTTTACGGTGTGCTAATTATAGTATGCAGGCCTAAATACAGTAGGCTACAATTCTGTTTCTACTTATGACTGTATTTAAAACGTCCACTGATTGATTACACACACATGTACTTTAACCTACTCATTGTGGCTCATTAAACTATGGTAAACTCTGATGCTATTTATGAACATCACCACAAATTATTGCAAATCATCAAACTGCAATGACTTGTACTTACATCTGAATACCAATAGATGGCAGTAGTGTCCCAAGTTTTCTTTCTCACTAGAGGCAGACTAAAGTAAATGTAGAACAAATGACCCGTTACCTCTTACACTCCTCTCCAGCATTGCTTCTTCAGAATACTCCATCATGTGGAGATTTCATAGCCTACTTAAATCCTCACGGGAGCCATTGTTGACCTCAGCTGTAGATACAGGGACCGGTGATACTTCCTCATTTCAGCCAGCAGTTGTCATCCACACAAGTCGTCCATTTACCAAACAAGAGCATGTTGATTAATTGTGCTCTCTTGATGTCTTCAGCCCCCATACTGCACTGATGGAGTTCAGATTCCCCAATGCAAACATGCAAACACAAAACCAACAGGCCTAAGATGATTGCTTTAACTCCAAAAGGTTGCTCAATGTGATATATAAGAAAATAAATTATTAAATAGATAGTTATGTAGATATGACATTCTCCATTTGAGTGATTCCAATAAATAAATTCAGCTAATCAAAGTCCTCAAAGTCATAACACCTTTTTTTTCTTGTGGTGTGAACGTCCGAGGAGACTCGCTTTTTACATGCTCCCCAAGGTCCACAAGACTGTATCTCCAGCAGGGAGGCTTATTATATGATCTTTATTATATG